CCTCGATGATGCTGAAGGCCTGCGGGCATCTGGATCCCAGCCTGTTGGCATTCCGTGCCCGTCGCAGTAGGCCCCAGAGGTCGTACTCCTTCCCCTCGTCCTCATTGTAAGCACGATCTCGTGGAACTCCGACTTCGGACTCGTCGGCGTCCAACGCGTCGGCGTGCGATGGCCAGCCATGCTCGTTCACGTAGTCAGCAAACTCCTGTGGCGAGATGGGCGTGCTCTGGCACCCCCCGCCCCACATCGGCTGATATTCTGGCAGTGCCGCGGCCGTGGAGCTCTGCGGAGAATGCCTCCACAGGTCATACGCCTCCTTAAAGACATCATACTCATCAGAAGTCATGGCGTCCCACATCTTGCGGAACTCCTCATGCTGGTGCTTGACCTCCCCCTCTGTCAAAGGTTTCCCCTTGAACTCCCTCGCCGCGTTCATCCACTTGTTGCGCTCGAGCAGAAACACACTCAAACCGACGCGCGTGCGCACTGCGTTGGGCTGGGTGCGCGGTTGCAGCTGCAGCGCGCAATCTTGAACCTCCCGCTGCGCCACGATGCCGTCGTCTGTGAATGCGTCGCCTGACCACTCCACCACCGCATCGACCTCGCCATTGCCCGGGGCCGAAGAAGTCGGTACCGAAGCCGCCGCTGCATGATCTGGGATGCGTGCGATCTGATTCACCAGCAATGGGTTGTAACGCAACGTTTCATGGCTCCCCGAACTCCCCATGCAAGTGGGCTTAAGAGGGTGCAAGCCGCCGCGGTGAACATGAGTCACAGCCGCTTGCATCATGAGGTCTTCCCTGGAAGCGTAGGACATATTCTTACCTCTCGTACCCTGCCGTGTAGCCCTATGCGTCACTTGTTTGTTGAGCCTCTCCACGAAGTCGATGCCGTACGGGTGGGATCTGAAGTCGCTGAGCAGCATTGCGTAGCAGTCGAATGACAGCAGGCCTGGTAGACTTGGGTACAGGCGACGGACACCGCGACTGTAGACGTCGAGCACGTCGTTGTCAGCATTGAGAAGCTCATTCGCGATGTTCGTTTTGTGGTCCTCAGTATACTTCTCATTCACAAAGGCATACAACTTGTACGGCCATGATGACAGGCGGAGCTCGTACCTCCTGTAAAGCGCACTCGACAGACGAAGGATCTGGCTTCTCGTCCACCTCTGGAAGGGCTCCGAGTCCATCGGCGCCCCCGTAGCTTCCACAACTGTCCATGGGTGATGCGCCGTTGCCCTGTTTGTCCACACCATCAGCAGATCCACGAGGAAGTGGAAGCAGTCGGCAACCTTGCTGCCATGCGGATCAAGCAGCCTGTCCATTTTGCTTGGCTGAGATGCGTCATCTTGAATCGGATCCTCCATCAATGGATAGAGCAAGTGCCTATCAGCGGCATCGAGGATAATGACGTAGACTCCCAACTGCCATACCATCTCGTCCGATTGGAAATACTCTTTGATTTTTTTTGACCTGACGCGGTTGACCATCGCGAAAAAATCGTCCCTGATCTCGCCGTCTACCCCCATTTTGTCGCCAAGCTCGCCGTCGCCTTCGTCATCTTTGAAATCATTGCAAAAGCAATCCAGACCAACTCGGTATATGATGCGCCTGAGGATCGTCTGTTTGAAATTGGGCAGGGTGTTGGTCCACCTGCTCTCTGCTGGCACTTTGTCCTGGCGCCCCCACAGTGCGTCGGTCACGGCGGCCGTGACCTTCGCCTTTGTCTCTGCCTCGCTCTTGCAGCATGGCTGCCCTGTCGCATCGTCGTGGCACCAGTGCACCCACTTCTCCTCGCGCCAGTCGCCATTCACAACGTCGCACAGGTGTCGGAAGGCGTGCCACTGCTTGGAGTGGCCAGTCTTACGTTCATGGTGCTTGGCATTGAAATTGAAAATCGTGTCCACCAAGTGAAAAAAGGAATACTCACCGGCTGGGGACCTGCCGACTTGCCGCTTGCATTTCTGGTTGACTAACTTCTCGATGCTCTTCGTGATTCTAGCCGCAGTGGTCTGCAGCTTCTGGATCTGAGCGATGCCGTAGTGTCTCATGATATGTTGGCGGCAACCCTTGATCTGTAGTTTAGCCCTGTGGTGAATATGAATACCACAGCAATCAGGCCAATATAGAATATTGGGCGCCTTGGGCAGCTCCTCGTGCTGTTTCCCCCAGTTCTTCATCATTACAACGTTGGAACCTGCTTTGTCGCCCATGGCCATGAACGTATATGATGTCACCTGATTGCTTAAAGCGGCCATCTCTGCAGCATCATCGATCCGAAATCTCCGTGGAATCCCCTGCTGCACTCCTGGGTACATGCATTGAGCTGATGTCCCCTCGACCGCTCTCGGCCTCACCAGCCAATACTCTCTGAATCCTCGTGCCAAGGGCCTCCGAGTGTCGAACAAGCACCACGTGACGCAGCCCCTCTGGACCAGCGTCGGCTTGGCGACGGTCCTGCTGCCCATGAACTTTTTGGTAGGTTTCCATCTGAATTTGGCAGCGACCTCGTCCCACAAGTGGCAGTAAGAGACGTGAACTCCCCGATGGCCCTTCTCATCGCGCACTCCTTTCAAAGCTGCCTTCGATTTTTCCAGCATGGCCTGCAAACTCTGCTCCTGCCTCCTATGAATAATCCTCGTGGCTGCGAGTATGAGCCGTCTGTGCTTGACCCCTATGGTGAGATTTGACTGCACAGGCAGATGAGCAGCGCGGCAAGCTATTGTCATGTCACTTGGGAGGACGGGTGCCTTTCTCTTGCCGAGCTGCTTCGCCTTGGGATCTCCAAGCATCTTGGCTGCATCGGGAATCATCGTTCGAATGGCCTGCAGCGTATGACGGCTTTCAGCTCGTTCGTCGTCTCGTTGCTTTCTCATTTTATTGAAACGGTTCTTGGACAAGAATCTCCGTGCGTGCTCGATGTGGCTCTTCGACCGCCACTGAAAACGAACATTCCTCGGGTTCAGCACTGGTGGTAATGCAGCCAATGCATAATCGATGCCCTCATGACCTGGCGCTGCACCCATGGCAGGCGGCGCCTCAGGCGCTGGTGCAGCACCTGGAGCAGCGCCATCTGGTGCCCCACCTGGTGCAGCACCTGGAGCTGGCACGACATCTCTCTCGGGCGGAGCTGGAGGAGCTGCGGCGTCATCAACAACGATATCTATATCTGGGATGTCCAGTAGGCCGAATTGCAGCACATCGTCCAGCTCCATCCGCACCACGTGCGGCTGGTAAGCCAAAATGGCTACGGAAGAATTGCGTTTGCTTGAAGTTTGATGTTTCTGTTATTTGTCCCAGTTGTTGACGGGCTTGAATACACAATGCCCATGTGTCGCTCGAGTGTCACATGTTACCACTTGCCCCCAAAAAATTGGCCGCAGCTGTTACCACATATAGGATACATCATCATTTCCATCGCCGTTAGGACCCCCGCATTCTCTCGATCGCCCCCCCCTCGTTTCGCCCCTCCTCCACCCTCATCCGCGTTTCTCTCCTAGACTTCCTGCCCCTCTCCGAGCCTACCCGTCTCCCGTTTTATCCGCCCACCGCGCCGTGCGTGCGACTCTTCTGAAAGGTTCGGCGACGAGGAGCACGATGCTATGGACGACGACGACGACGTCATGTATGGCAACGATGTCATGGAAGCCAACCATAATAACTACAGAAATAGTGGTACGTAATTGGAATCCCTGTGGCCTCTTTTCAAAACACTGCTCTCGCCTGCCCCCGTCGGGGCCCGCCTCCACGAGACAAGTCTGGGCGTGCGATTCGGCGAAGCCGTTTGATTTCTGGGGCGCACTGGTGAATTGAGATCATGGGAAGCTTATGTGTTGGTGCGGATATGGTCTGCTTGTGCTGTTGTTGTTGGTGTTGCTATTGGTCGTGCTGCTAATTGGATTGCTCGTTGTGTTGTTGATGTGCCGCTTTTGATCCATTTCAAAGCTCTGCTATCACATTGGTTTGACACTCAAATAGCATAGTCTATATTGTCATGGTGTCCTATTGTGTGCATGATCGCCGAGATGTGATCCAAATCCTCGCTTTATTTTCGAGTTGATCTAAATATTCTCGCTCCAGTTGCAAGTTGATCCTCCATCCTGCGTCGCCACCCGTCCGACCCCAGGGACCCCCTCTGAACGCCCTATGCAATGAACCCCGATCTCTGAGGGATAGACGAAGTGAAGGTCGAGACCTCTTGGGGATCGACGTTATGAAAAATCATGACGTCGAGGGTCTGGGGAGAGGGTAACAGAGACAATGGCACGAGGCCGAACGGCAGATGATGTACAAAACCAGCAGCGGCCGCTCTTGCGAGGACGCCCGCGGAAACGCCGACGGCGACACCAGTTCGAAATACACAAGAACTGCTGTCGGTTTCCATGCCCATTGTCTCCCTACCCATTTCCGTCACCCCGACACTCCAGATCTCTGGCGATGTGCTGTTGTTTCGATCCTCGGGAGCGGCCAAGAGGGGGGTGTCCAAGAGGGGGGGGAGCAAATCATGACCGGCGGCATGTGCGCGGCCCAGCGGGGGGGGCCAGGGACGTAATGAAATAAGAAGAGGCGCCATGAAATCTGGGGGAATATCATGGCCCCCCGCCATGACATCCACCCCCCCCTAGTCATCACCCCCCTCTTTGCCGCCCCCGAGATCCTGGCCGTATTCCTTGACCTCGGCCTCCGGGGCCCGTTCTGGGGCCCGCGGCCCTACGAAGCAGGACCGGGGCGCGCGCGGGGAAGGGCTCGGGGCCCTCGGGGCCGCGCATTCGGGCACACCATTCGGACGCCTGCGCATCAGAAGGGGCATGGAGGGAGACTTCCGAAGGCCTGTGCGGACCTCTTGGGCTGGCGATGGACCCCCCCCCCCTCCCCACGCCCTCTCCCCAACGGGCGCTAGGACCAATGCCCACGTGGTGTGGAGAGGGGGGGTCCCGGCGCCCAGCCAAAACTCAGCGAGGAGCTCCAAAAGTTGTTTACGGATCTGTGCTGGTCTCCCTCCTCGAGGCCGTACTGGTTGTTGTGCCAATTGGTCATCTTCCTCACGCCAGCATGTTGTGCTCCACCTCCGAGCCTGGCCAGGGCCATCCTAGACCCGGGCAAGGTGTATGCGCCCTTCCCGCCGAGGCCACGAGAGGTGAACGTTTCTTGTTCGCCGATTCGGCATTGAGCGAAGGGGGGGTCTGGCTCCAGACCTCTGCTTAGTGCGACTAGTTGGAACAGTGCTCTCCCGGGGGATCCTGTAGGCAGGCGGGGCTCCTGTGCATACTCCACCTGCCCAAAACAGGCGCCCAACAACGGCCATGCCCAAGACGGCACTGGCCAAGCACGGGGGCGGTGTACAGCATGCCCTCCGCGGACTCCTGTGCTTCGCCATCCTGCTCGCCGCCGCCGTGCCCAGGAGCCCGGTCCGCGACCGCTGCATCCGCGCAGGGTTGTGCAGCGGTGCGGGCGGCGGCTTCGCATCGCCGCTCGCGAGTGAGTCAGATCGGTCGCGAGTTTGCCCTTTGAATCCACTGGAGCCGCTGGCTCCTCTTCTGCGGCAACTCACGGGAGCCTCACATATCATCTTGTTGGCTCTTGCGAACCGACGCCGTCGATGCGAATAGACGCTACATCGACGCTAATCGACGCTAATCGACGCTAGGTCGACGCTCATCGACGCTAAGTCGACGCTTATCGACGCTGAATCGGCACTATCTCATCGATTACAAGACGCTAATCGACGTGAGTGCACTCTCAGGATCGATCGATTTACGAGAGTACAAACGGCTCCCATGATTTGCTATCAAACGCCTCCTCCGTTCGACTCGCTCTGCCAGTGCATGTCGCGCAGGGTCGTCGACATTTCGCTGCTGCTGTTGAGAGAAAGGCTCAGGTCGTCGTAGTTAACCAGGGCCTTGTCCACGAGCTGTGGGACCTGCCAGGCCTGCGGGTTGACGAGAAGCGTAAGGTCGCGGTTCACGGCGGCGTGCAACGCAGCGAGAGGCAGGTCGTTGGGGTCGGTCCCGAACGGGTTCTCCAGCTCAACCGCGATCATCTCAAGGCCTCTCATGCAGACAAGGGACACGAACGTGGCAGTGAAGCAGTAGTAGGGCGAGTCTGACCACGTGCAGACGACAAAGGGGGTCACAAACATGTACACAACGATCAACACTGCACCCATCTGGGCGTATGGGAAAGGGAAAGGCCAGATCACAACCTGAACAGCCTCGTGATAATTGACAAGGCCCGTGCCCAACTCTTGGAAAACGCGGGTCAGGATGGGCGCTGGGACATCCAATACACCTGTATGAGTAGCCCTGATAATTGTCACCTTGATCCACTGGCAAACGATTTCGACCGTCCTTCCGTGCGCTGCCGCAGTTGTCAAAATCATCAGGTCTTTTTTATCAAGGCCATCGATGTCCAGGAGAGGAAACTGGATTAGATCATCGACTCCAGACATCTCCTCGAGTGCCATCGCATGCATGAGCCCGAAGAGCCGTACCAACGTGTGTGAAAAACGCATAATGCTCTCGGTGCTCATCTTGGACGTCTGCGCAAACGCGATCAGGCTTCCACAAGCATCGCACCACTCGGCCTTCATGTTGTGGACGGATGTGGCCGCATGCCAATACCGCTGGTACGACTGTGACGTGCGGAATCCGCCACGGTGACCCCTGGCACGGTGCGGCCTGGTATAATGCCAAGGGTCGCCCGGAAGGTGTGCCGTGCGTCTTGCAAGCCCCCCACCTCATCACGCCCACTTGTATGCATCTGCGGGCAAGATTCATATCCCTATCCAGTGCGTCTTGGACTTGTTCGGAAGGGGCGCCACAAGGCCCAGGCGCACTGGATACGGATAGAAGTCGAGCCTCTAGGGGGAACGTTTGTCCATATCCAGTACGCCTCGGGTTTCTGGGGAAGGGAGACCAAGCTCCATCTGCAATGGATATGGATAGAAGTACTGCCCGCAGCATCCATCCTCCCTCCCTCCTGCAGCTCCCTAGGCGGCCCGACGCCTCCCGCGGGCTCTCCAATACTCCCCAAAGATCCCAATGCACCCTAGAAAAAAGCTATCACGACCGCCCGCCACTGCAGAAAGGCGACCATCACGGCCCCTAAACAGACACTGGCAGGCACCAGAGGGGTCCTACAAGGCTACCAAGACACTTGAGAGTAGGGCAGTCGGCCATCGAATGCCAAACTTACCATCCAAAGCGCGACGTCATTCCTCAGGTTGATGAGCATGCTCTATGTTTCCTGCCTAGCGCTTTCGGCGCAATATTGTTCCAAGAAGGTCTCAGAGGAGCCAGCGAGAATCCCAGAGAGCCGAACGAGAGCCCCAAGACGGCTCAGGAGGAGCCCAGCACAGACCGAGAGGGCCCCGATATGACGCCATGGGGGCCTCGGAAAGGCCCCCGAGGACTGCTGTCCAAGACGGCCCAGAGAAGCTCGAGACGGCCCAAGACGTGCTAAGACGGCTCAGGTAAACCTCACGAGAGCTCCTCGGGAAATCTAGTAGAAGCTCGACCACACTAAACCTTCAGCAAACAGCTAAACCCTGAGACCCCAAAACATCCACAGATTGTTGGTGTGGGAGCGTCTCGCTTTCCGTGGCAAAATCATCGCACACCAAGAACCATAGGGCACCCTGGAGGCACGCAGGGTGTTTCTTGGCACGAGAGCTCCCGACGGAATAGAGGCGCGAAATATTACAAGTACGGACGTCTGGCGGTACTCCAAACGTCGACACACAATGACCCGCGTTGACACGGTGGCGAGACTTGCCGCAGGCAGGTGGATACGAGGATGAACCCCAGCACGAACGTGAATCCACTGAAGACCCCCTGCCCCTGACTCAGCTCTACGCCTGCGAGAAGGTCGAAGTAACTTATGCCGAAGGCGAGCAGCGCCGACGGCAAGGAGAACAGGATGGCCTTGGGGAAAATGCTACCTGCAAGGAGTTGCTACAACACAACAAGTCGATAACGTACCACGACAGAACCACAACTCCTTAAAACATGCACCCAAGCGCGCATGTGCTTGCAACCAATACGGCACTAAGATACATGCGGTGACGTCGTGAGGCCATCTCTGCTGGTATTGAGGCCTCCAGGAATGAGGGAGGGAGAGGGGGGAGGGGGAATGATGGAGGAAAAGGAGGATGACGACGATGAGCACGAATAAGATAAAGAGGAGACTACGGGTTCACGAGGACGAGGACGAGGTGATGCAGGAGGGGGCCGAGTATGACAAGCGGGAGGGTGGCGAGGACGGCGAACAGGATGAGGAGATCGAGGATGGCTACCCCTCAAAGGCAGAACGAGACCGAATTAGCAGGAGGACGACGAAGACGACACAGGCTCAGGACAAGGGGGTCGGGGAGAAGGGTGGACGAGTAGCACGAGGAGAACGATGAGGGCGGAATATTGAAACAGTCTGGCGACATCTTGGAACGCTGGCGCAACCGATGGATGGAGAACGGGGCCACAGATGGATGGCGCAAACCATGGCGCAATCCATGGATGACGCACGCTGATGAAGAGAGAGAAGGCGCAACTGTGGATCGCGGAACCCACGGCGCGCCACATGGGTGGTAGACACACCTGGCATGTACCACATGGCCACGCCCCACTTATTTCCCGAGGGCAGAGGATGACCGCGATGTCGGATCGAGCAGGGAGGACGCTCGGCGAGAGGAAGAGGACTGCTTCGGACCGCTCTGGCAACGGGAGGCAGTCGGGACGCGCACCCAGGGCGAAGCAGAACCTCGAGGAGGAGCAGGACGAGGCAGACCCGCCATGGCCCTGTCGCCCCGTGGCCCACCGCATCGCCATCAAGGCCCTTTGCTGGGACGGGGCTCGAGCTGAACACCGTTTTTCTTTACCGGGTGGTGTTCGTTTTTGTTCCTGCGCTGCGTCTTCGTTCTGCCTTTGCTGCTGAACGGGATCAGACCGAAACCGACCCACGAGATCGCCCAAACAACGTGCAGCTCGAGCCCTGTGCTGGGATCGTCTGCTCCGCCCCCCCCTGGGCCGCCGCGGCATCTGTAGTAGATGTCCCAGTCGTGCGAGTCGTACTGGATCATCGGGGCCCCCTGATGGGCCTGCTTGCCACCACCACCGCCATGAGTTGGAGGAGGGAAGGAGGTGGAGGACGAGGAGGTGGAGGAGGAGGAGGAGGAGGACCCCCTCCCCCTCCAACTCATGGTGGTGGCGGCGGAAAAGAAGCCCATCACCCCCAGGTCCGCGCCGCGGCCCGCGCCGCGAGGCCAGGGCCGGCCGCGAGGCCAGGCCGACCCCGCGCAGCTTCGCGGGGCTGGCCTCGCGGGGGGGTCCTCGAGCCGACGCGGCGGAGTAGGCGGAGGAGAGCGCGCCTCCCCCTGGCCTCCCCCCCGACCCTTGGGTCGGGCACGTCCTCCTACAGGCGGAGTGTGGAGTTAAAAACCACATGGCCGAACAACACGCCAAGAAGCAAGAGAACAACGGACCGACACATCGTACCCAGACCATGTTTTGACTGTTGTTTGACCATTCCTCCTGCAGGGGGGCAGGCCCGACTTACGCCGCCCCCCCTCTGAGAGATGCCCCTCGAAGCCGCCCTATCCTCCCAAACGCCCCCTTTTCCCACTCCGCGCATCCCTCGTTTTGACGCTAGGCGAATCTGAGTGGGACGGGGGAAGGAGGAGAAGGAGGAGGAGAAGGAGGAAAATGAGGAGGAGGAGGAAGAGGAGGAGGAGAAAGGAGGAGGAGGAGGAGGAGGAGGAGGAAGGAGGAGGGGGAGGAGGAGGAGGAGGAGGAGGAGGAGGAGGAGGAGGAGGAGGAGGAGGAGGAGGGGGAGGAGGAGGAGGAGGAGGAGGAGGAGGAGGAGGAGGAGGGGGGAGGAGGAGGAGGGGGAGGAGGAGGAGGAGAGGAGGAGGAGGAGGAGGAGGTGGAGGAGGGGGGGGGAGGAGGAGGAGGAGGAGGAGGAGGAGGAGAGGAGGAGGAGGAGGAGGAGGAGGAGGAGGAGGAGGAGAGGAGGAGGAGGAGGAGGAGGAGGAGGAGGAGGAGGAGGAGGAGGAGGAGAGGAGGAGGAGGAGGAGGAGGAGGAGGAGGAGGAGGAGGAGGAGGAGGAGAGGAGGAGTGGAGGAGAAGGGGGAGAGGAGGAGGCGGAGGAGGAGGGGGAGGAGGAGGAGGGAGAGGGAGGAGGAGGAGGAGGAGGAGGAGGAGGAGGAGGAGGAGGAGGAGGAGGAAGGGGAGGAGGAGGAGGAGGAGGAGGAGGAGGAGGAGGAGGAGGGAGGAGGAGAGGAGGAAGAGGAGGAGGCGGGAGGAGGAGGAGGAGGAGGAGGAGGGGGAGGAGGGGGAGGAGGAGGAGGAGGAGAAGGAGGGGAGGAGGAGGAGGAGGAGAAGGAGGAGGAGGAGGAGGAGGAGGAGGAAGGAGGAGGAGGAGGGGGAGGAGAAGGAGGAGGGGGAAAGGGAGGAGGAGGAGGCGGAGGAGGAGAGGGAGGGGAATGCGGAAGCGGAGGGGGAGAAAGAGAACGGGGAAGAGGGGGAGGCGGGGGACGAGTAGTAGGAGGACGGGGAGGAGGGGGAGAAGGAGGAGGAAGAGTATGAGGAAGAGGAGGATGAGGAGGAGGACGGGGAGGAGGAGAGGGAAAAGGGAGGAGGTGGAGGGGCGCCAGACCCGATGCAGGGGTGGATGGTTTGACCGTTTTCAAGAAGATTTTTTCTGTGGAGGCCGAGCGACACCGAACACGCCTCAGAAAACCACACAAACACACAAACGACAGAAAACATTTGTTGACAGAATGTAGCGGTTGGGAAAATTGGAGTTTTGTCTGGAATATTTGTCTTTTGTATGCTTCCCACAGCTTTTCGCAGGAGGGCGGCTGAGGCTACAGAGTACGAGGAGGAAGGCGAGGAAAAGGAGCACACGGAGGAGGAAACACAACAGGAAAAGGAACAGGAGGAGGAAGGAGGCAAGGAACACACGAGAGAAGAAAAACGCAAGCACGCCGCGCAACGACCGAAACTCAAACCACACACGGCCGCGCGTTTGCCTCCCTGCCCTGCCTGCCTGGCATGGGTAACCCTAAGCCTGGCACGATGGCTTTCAAGGACAAAGCTGCTCGCAGCAAGGCCTACAACGCGAAAAAACGAGCAGCGGAGAAGGCCGCCAAGGAGGAGGAACTAACCGGTCCTCACAAAACCGAAGTTGCCCGCTTCGAGCGCCAGGTGAGGTTCCATGGGAACGTGTCCACGTGTGCCAGGTGTGCAAACTGCGGTGCGTGTGCCTTGTGTCCAACGCGCGCCGGGTGAGCCAGGTGCGCCAGGTATCGCTAAATATACCGCCTCTCCCCGGGAGGACCATATCCGCGACAACAGGGAAGATATCATGCACCACCTGCAGGCGGAAAAGGATTTCGGGTGGAAGGCGGCGGCTGTGCTGGCGATGAAACATATGCCAGGAGCTCCCGAAGGCGGCCCTGAAGCAAGTCGAGGAAAATTGCGAACACGGGCGCGAAAGGGCTGCGCCACCTTTGGAGCAACTTCTAGGAAAAAGGACACGCCGCAAAGACAGCGGCGCACGGCCGGCGCCAAAAAAAACGCCCGCGCAGAGCACGGC